TGTGTATGTGAATGCAAACGTATGTATATCAAATGATTACAACATAATATTGTTTTTTTCATAAAAACAACAAATCGCTAAATATCAGATGAGAGCATTTCAGAAAAGCAACCATCCCACGACCTCTTACGCATGAGATATTTTCTTTTGTAGATGATCGACATTTCACTCTCTCTCAACCAATCCAATTAACGTTTTTCATTTATTTTTGTCTCGAAACTATAGGTCTGGGCACAAGCCGAGTATTTGCTAATTTTTAAGTATTTGTGACTCGGCTTGGCTTGTTCAAGTAACAAAAATTCCGGCTTGATACTTGACTCGTTCGAAACAAGTACTTGCTCAATCAAGTACTTATCCAAAATCATGTGACTTGCAAGTAACTTGACTCGGCTTGTTACTTGCAAAAATCATATACTTGTTACTTAAATACCTGAAAATAAAAAAAAAAATCTTCACATAAATTACAAAACATTCGAAGTTCTTACAAAACATTCAAGTTCAAACATCCTAAAATCACAAAACATTAAATTTCCAAAAGATAATTTGTCCATAGCTTCGTGTATTAACAAGTAATTATTAACAAGTATCAAAGGTAAGTAATGTAAACGAGTATCAAGCCGAGTAACGAATCAAGTAGTAAAAAAAATTTGTCAGCTTGATACTTGGCCTGGACTTGTAAGTAATAGAATATGTTGGCTTGTTACTCGGTTTGACTGGGATAAGTACTTGCTTTTTTAAGTTGAGTACGGACCGAATAACGAGTACAGGCCAAGTAACGAGTATTTGTGCCCAGGTCTACGATACTATGCACGTAGCCTAAAAAGTAAGTGACCAAGATGATTTTGTCCATAGATTCTCCAATAAAGAAATTCTCTGAATCGTCCTCTCAACAAACACTTAAAAGTTTCATAAAACATTCTTAATAACATCCATTAGACTTGGGCCCTGTTCTTCTTCAAGTCGCTGCGATAGCGACGGCGACTACGGACGAAGACAAAATTATAACGTATAGAAAAAAAGCTGTCGCCGAAGATGGACGCCGTTCATGTTGTTAGTTACGTGTTATAGTCGCTATTTTTTTCGGCGACAAGAATCATGCCTTCCTCGTCGCCGTATTGAACATCGAGCGACAGCTCCTCTCCACATGCTTAGGGCTTACGTAACTTTTATTCATATATTTTGGTCGCTTCTTTGTGTCGCTGCGACTTGTTAACGAACAAGGCTTTGGTCATCATAATTAGTAAACTTGGAAACAGAAACAACTACAGATGATAAAACTGTATGATGATGAGATAACTTAACGCTGACTTTAAAAAGGCTACTAAGAAGCTGTGAGAGGGATTGGTTTCACAGCGCTTCGAATCCGCTCAAAAGCTAACCTGACTCTTTCCTTAAGACCTCCATGCTCACTCTCCACAGCTCCGCTCTCTTTGTCGAGCTGAGCCACATTGCCATCGACCGTAATTACCAGCTTCCCGTTCTCTCCAAGTTTCACATCCCCAAAGAGTGACACAAGGAGAGCGTATATCACTTTCTCCACTTTCTTCCCGTTCTGTTCCTCGGATTTTACAGCGTCTTCTTCTTCCACAACGATCTTGGGGACTTCACGGCTGATGTTGAGAACCAGAGCTACAATGGAATCTGAAACCATGTCGCTTATCGGATCTGATGACCACTGAAGCGAGATGTGCTTCTCTGACTCTTGTTTCAACGTCACTCTTCCGTGTACTTTCAGTGCTGGAAGCCCGGATTCCTCATCTGTTGAAGGCTCTACACTCTCAAAAATCTTCTCGAGGCGATGTTTTACTACACCGAAAGCTCCTGCGAACGGGATAGTGATCCGCTGAGTTACAGTTGCTGTTGATAGCTGTGAGAAAACATGGAGATCATCAGGTGCCATTATCTGATAAGTGAAACCTTTC